CAATGTAATATATATAATATACTATATAATATATATTTATATTATATTAACATATAATATACTATATACTATATACTATATAATGTATAATGATGTATAATGATGTATAATATATAGTATATATTTTTAATATATGAATACTGTACTGTTGCTTCACACATGTTCCAAATGTTCTGATTTCTTCAGGAATCCCCCTAAATTTTAGCTTGGCTTATTCTCCTATTTTCCACTTAAATCTCCCCTTTCTTCACTTTAATCTCTTATTCCTATTTGATATACCTTCTCAAATGCAGGGATCAGATCACTCAGTGACTCTGTTCTTTACTGCTCTAGCACAGCTTTGAATTCTGCTGTTGGCGTTTTTAGCTTCTCTACATCCTTCTCGATCTTACCCCTTACACTGCCGTTTTACACCATTATCATTTTCATCACAGCATGTCCTCTTTGTGTGGCTTTTGCTCCCGGTTTACGATGGCCATGCCTCTTTGTATCTTTATGAGGATGCCAATATTATTTCTGAAGCTCCATTTGTTTCTGTAATACATTATTTTCGTAGGTCCACACTGCCACCTCGTCTTGTAGATGTTGTTCAATTTCCGTTGTAGTTTCTCCCCATAGTTCATAATATCTTCGCCCAGCTTCTGGACTAGGTTTTGGAGGTCAGATGCTTCTAGAATGTTGTGTGGTTCATATCAGCCCAATCTAGCACCGTATGACTACAGGCCCACTCCGCTTTTGCTGGAGGGCCTGCATAGCTTTCTTTTCTTCGGAAGTATTTTCCAATGCGAGCTGCAGAGGTGGAGCGGCCCCCTGACCGTGCAATCTCCTCTTTGCTAATCTGTGTTTGCTCCTATGTATTTCCTTTAGGGTTGTCCAATGCAATAATGGCACACGAAGTAGAGTAGCCTCTGTTTTAACTACTATGCCAACTGTTGCTTATTACCTTTCCTCCCTCCCTCTCTCCCTCCCTCCCTCCCTCCCTCCCTGCCTCTCTTCTTTCTTGACTTAAAAAATAATTTTTTCTCTCTCTCTTCAGGCTTAAATCTCTTCAAGCCCAGGAGGAGTCCCGCCACAGAGGCTCAGCGCATAGAGCCTCCGTGCAAAAGAGCTCAGAGCGAGGTGTGGAGCCCAGAGGTGTGGAGCCCAGAGGCCCGGAGCGGAGGACCTCGGAGTTGAGGCGGTCAGAGCATCGCAGCTCCGAAAAGCGCAGCGGCTTGGACAAGCGCATCTCCGGCTTGGACAGGCGTGACCGTGACCGTGACCGTGACCGTGACCGTGAGCGGTGTGACCCCGAAGTGATATCCGATTATGAGAAGCAGGTCCGCTCGCTGAAGGACGAGATTGCTGCTCTGACGGCCGAAAAGTCTGCCCTCCAAGAAAGGTCCGACACATTCTCACACAGCTTCTCTCAGTGCCCTGTGCTAGTGGAACAGCACAGTAGCTATCACCGTGGGTGGGAAACCAAGCGAAGTGACTCCCTTGAACCCAGACCCCCACAGTACAGGAAGCTTTGAATGGTAAACTGTCTTCTCTAGCTGACCCTTCGGAGAGAGAGAAACTACCTCCTGGATTGCCAAATCCAGGCACTCGTGGGTGTGGGGCTGACGTGGAAGCGTAAGGCATGGGGCTGAGCAATGTGAGAAAGGGAAGCTCTTTGGCTTGAAACCAGAGCTGAGCGAGCCGGTAAGGCAAGAGGTGGTACCCACACTGCAAGAATGTTCCAGGATACGAGGGCCCGCTCTCTTAAGGCCTGAGAGCTCCCCGGGGGAGGAGCACCGCTCTACCAGAAGCTGGCTTGCTGCTCCTTAGCGCTGGCCTCTGCCCCATGCCCACTGGGGGGGGGGGGGGGGGGGGGGACCAGCTGTCGTTTTACTGTAGGGTGGTTCCCTTTGATGAAGGTGTAGGTACCTGCTCCTGTGGAATCCCTTTCTACCAATGGACAGACACTAAGGCAGGCCATTCAAACAGTGTTGAGTGAGGACAAAGCAGGGTGTTTCTCTCTGTAGTCGTTGCAATGTTCCTTGTGCTGGCTACACCCCTCCCTTTCCCAGCCTGATAACATGCCCCGATTCAAGTTACTAAAGTCGCCCCCATGCCCGGTCCCCATGTCCCTAAATGTCACCTTAGAATTTCATGGTGGGAATCACTCCTTCAGTGTTGAGCTGCTGCTGGCTCATGTTGGCTCCTAAGAATATGCTCTGTGCATTTCTGCCTCACGCTGAGTTCAGCGACACCACACACCTTGCCCTATAGTTTCTTCTACAAAACCTCCTTTTTGGGGGGCCCATTGCCTTTGGGCTAGCTAGTCTGGTAATTTCTATTGTACTTGGTGGCCATAAACGTTTTACTGATATGGTGCTTTCCAATTCGCCAAGTACTTCCACCTGAATTATTATCAGCTCACCTGCTCTTCCCACCCCCCTCCTCACCCCAGCCCGCAACAGTAGGTGGAAGCTCCGCAGGGGAGAAAGGATTTCAGTCGCTCCTGCTGCGGTGACGCGGTGGGGCCGGAACAACAGCACAGATCTTCCTCATTGCTCAGTGTGCACCTCATTTTATACCATAAGCTCGCCAAGGCTGGGGCACGAAGCAAAGACAACCTGGCCTCTCCTTTACCTCTGGCTTCCTGGCTGTGAGACGCCAGGGCCCCCACTAACTTTCGTGAGCTTCCAGTTCCTCACCCGTAACGTGGCCAACCATCAATGCTGGGCTCACGGGCTGCGACAGGCTAAACAGGTGCTCAGGCGCGAGCGTGCTTTACGGAGCGGCCTGCGCCGGGCCAACGCGTCTTGTTCCACGGCTGTGGAGACGGTGCCCCGGTCAGGCGCAGTGGGAGGCCCCGGAGGCAGCGGCTCCTGAGCCTCCTTTGCAGTTGCTGTGGGGAGAAGCAGGGTCCAGGAGGGACAGAAACGTGAATCCGAGTGTTTCCCCGCTGATTCTTGCTTCCCAACAGGTCCG